GCATCCGGCATGCTTCTTAAAGGTGTCAATTCCCACTGTCCACTCAGAATCTCAAGGAATAAAAAGTGAAGCCCAGGAATTAGGAAGATCCTCAGTATTGAAGATTCATGAGTTTTCTGTCCTGCTGTTTATTCCTCTTAACGTTGATGCTGGGAACGTAGGAAAAAGAACAGTCAGAGAGAAGGTACTTTTTGGTTTTAGAGGTGTTTGCAGATATGTCATAGGCAATTTGATGTGAAAAGCCAGACCTTGGAAAGCTGCTTTGGCTGGGGCAGACAGAACTGTGAGAATATACGTAGAGGGATAATTTCTAATTGTATGCAATTTTTCTTTTGTCTTCTTCAGTATACGACCTTTACACATAGGCTGCCCTAAGAGCCAAACGTCTGGGAAGAGATTGGGACTTACTACAGGAGAATTGCTTAGTAAAAGGCCAAGTTGATGTTCACTTTTGACATTTAAAAATGAGTCGGCAATACTTTTCAGGCCGCGCTGTTACCCTGAGAGATAATTCACTAAATTCCTTTGCCTTTCTGTCTCTCTATGTTCAAGAAAACCAGGGCCCTTTTCTGTCTTTAAGGCTGAAGTGAGAACTGGAAGAGGTAATTGTGGCACAAGGGACGTCAGTGTGAAAACACAATTCAAAGGGGATAGGAGATAGTTTATTTTGGAGTCAAGTGAGTGACCACAACCCCAGAGCACAAATTTAGGATACTCCCAAATTCAATGTTCCAATGTGGTAACACTTCAATGAAGTCTTTTGTTTGTTTGTTTTTTGTTTGTTCTGAGACAGGGGTTTCTCTGTGTAGCTTTGCGCCTTTTCCTGGAACTCACTTTGTAGCCCAGGCTGGCCTCGAACTCACAGAGATCCGCCTGGCTCTGCCTCCCAAGTGCTGGGATTAAAGGCGTGCGCCACCGCTGCCTGGCTCAATGAAGTCTTTATGGTATTAGAGCAAAGAAAGTCTCAACTTAAGGTACTTTTTAAATGCACTGGTGGGAATGTGAGGAAGGTGGGTTGAAGCAAAGGGGGAGAAAATGTCTACTATGGGCCCCGGATGCTGTGTGCTTACACTGTTAGCCTTTCGGCTGGTGGAAGCATTCCTGTTGTACCTGTTGTTATGTGTTGGTCACAAGGATGTTAGGGTAGACACAAGGTGGCTATGATAGCAGCTAAAGGCAGCCCCAGATAAACTGTGACTGTATTCTGGACCTGCAGCATCCCATCCTCTCCCACAATCACTGAGTCGGTTAATGAAACTTGTGGAGCATTCTATGGAAGGTGGGGGTCTTTTCAAGGGGGCGCAGACAGAAAGGGGAATTGAAGGATGCTAGTGGCACTCAAGATGGGGCTCCACCAACCAAGAACCTCACTTGGCCCACAACAGCCTTGCTGAGCCCAGGCTGGACATATACAGGTTCAAGGACAAGGACTATAAAGCGACACAGTGAAGAGGCTGAAAAAGCCCTTCAGTCTGGAGAGCAAGGAGGCCTTCCAGAGGACTCATCTACGATATTTAAGGCCAAGAGCCTCTTCCAGCAGGGCCAAGCTTTGCCGGCTGAAAAGGCTGAACATTTGAATCTAAGAAAGACTCGGATATCTAAGGAACTTTCAAAGTTATCCAACCTAATGAAACTCCACAAACTATAGGCCTCATTTAATTTAATTTAAAATTTAAATTTAACACATATGGATGTTTTATTTGTATGCATGTCTGTGTACCACATGCATGGCTGATGCCTGTGGAGCTCAGAAGAGGGTATTGGATCGCCTGGGCCCAGAGTTACAGGTGGTTGTGAGTCACATGTAGGTGCTGGGAATTGAACCCAGGTCCTCTGGAAGAGCAGCTAATGTTCTTAACTGTGGAACTATCTCTCCAGCTCCCTTATGTAAAATTTTCCTTCTAATACTACATATATATTTATTTTCTGAAAACAGCCACAACCCACCAGTCCTGCATGCTCTTCGGGAGCCTGCCACTCTTCCTGGAGTGGTATAGCTTTTCCTTCACCTTCACCACCAGATGGGGCGAGGTGATTTTCACTGGAGAGAGGTGGAAGTGAGGCTGTACAATTGTCAAGATTGGGTTACACTAGCTAAATCAGTTTCTGCCTGGCTCTCTTAGAGACGTCTGCCCTTGGAGCCCAGCCATGATGACCTGAGAAAGCCCTAGCCACTTAGAGTCCCCTAGCCAACAATCAGCCAAGGTCTCAGCTGAGACCGGTGCCACAAACAGGTGAGGGAACAGGCCCGAGAAAGCTTCCAGTGATTCTGGCCTTAGCTAAGTCCAGCTCCACAGACCCAGACAAGCCTATCACAGTTTTACTCTGTTGGAATTCCTGACCTGCAGTAAGTGGCTGCTTCATGCCACCAAGTTTTAAGATAATTTCTTAAACAGCCACAGTAGCTGGAGCACACAGGGTTTTGTTTTCATAACTTTTGCATTGATTAGCATAAACATTTTCTCATGTTGCTGGATAGTCAACATAATGTCTCAATTGGGTAACAAAATATTTTGAGTTGATGTAGTGTGTTTATTTAAATATTGTGCTATTCTTGGCTATTTAGAAGACTTCTCATCTCTTACTATTTAACTGCTGATATAAAAAAGTTGTGTGTAGAGATGTTTCTCTTTTACTGGATTGCTTCCCTGGGACAAATTCCCAGAAGTAGAATTACATTTGGGTATGAACATTTGCATGGCATCCCAAATGGAGCACCAAATCACTTATAAATACACCAATAGATTCTTCCATCAATTATGCTTGGCAATACCATTACATTAAATCATTCAAATTTGTTTTGAAGTAGAGTGCGCGCGCGCACGCACGCGCGCGCACACACACACACAAATATGACCGAATTAATGACATACCCTTACAATACTGTCACTAGTGTTACATACCACCATCAATGTTGCTAATTTAAACAACAGAAATTGTATTTTATCATTGTTTATAAAGGAGATTTGTTTTTTACTTTAGAAATTGTTTCCCACCCTATCTGAAATGTCTGCATGTATTCTATACCCAATAATGTATTTTTCAGAACCCTTAAAAATCATTGTTTTTAGCCAGACATGATGGCACATGCCTTTAATACCAGTACTTGGTAGTCAGAGGTAGGCAGATTTCTTTGAGTTCAAGGCTAGCCTGGTCTATATAGTGAGACCCAGTCTAAAACAAACAAACAAACAAATAAACTATTTTTTAAAAGCTACAAGTCACAATCAATTAATAGATTATGAGAATGCATTACCTTCTAATTAGTAGACTGTGAAATGGATTAAGTGCCTCCTGACTAGTATTACAAAGAAAATTAGTATAGTATAGCATGAACATACCAGAGCCTTAAGCACTCAATAAGTTGCGTGCGTGTGTGTGTGTGTGTGTGTGTGTGTGTGTGTGTGTGTGTGTCTGGAGAGATACTTCTTCAGTTAAGAGCACTTGCTGCTTTTCCAGAGGACCTGAGTTCAGTTCCCAGCACCCACACTGGGCAGCTCACAACTGCCTGTAACTCCTGCTCCAGGGGATAGGAGTGCCCTGGCCTCCATGGGCACACACATTTACATGTGTAGACTGACATGCAGAATCACACCGACATATGATTTAAAACAGTTTAAAAAAATTAAAAGTAAAACTATTCTTTGCGGGCAGGGGTGGGGTGGTTTCAAAGCAAGGTTTCTCTGTGTAACAGCCCAACAGTCCTGGCTGTCCTGGAACTCACTCTGTAGACCAGGCTGGCCTCAAAATCACAGAGATCCTCCTGCCTCTGCCTCCCAAGTGCTGGGATTAAAGGCATGTGCCACCACCGCCCAGCAAGAAAAAAATATTCTTAGTGCAACAAAAATACTTTTAAAGTACCAGCCTTAGGCTGGCAAGATGGTTCCATCGGGAAAGGCACTTGCCACTAAACTTGACAACCTGAATTCAACCCCTGGGACCCTCACGGTGGAAGGAGAGCACTGACTCTTGCTAGTTGTACACACACACACACACACACACACACACACACACACACACACACACACAAATGTTTTAAAAGATTTAAAATATCAGCTCTGTAACTCATATTTATTACCCTCCTTTCTATTTTTAAAAATATTATAACTTCCATTTTATTTTTCCAAGATGGTTTTTCTTCTGTCCTTATGAAGCCATCTCTTCACATGCGCTCTGGTGGAGGTCATGGTGCAGCATCAGCAGGTCTAAATCATGGTGGGGGGTTCAGTCCTTCCGGGTTTCACCAGATCAGTTCCTGGCTACCTTGCTGTGAATGGCACAGCTCACGCAGCAATGCAGCTTGACGCAGAGTCTGGGAAGCACGTAAGCATCGAAGACGTTTGCTTCAGATATGTCCGTCACGGCAGCGGCCGCTACAATGTTCCAGATGACGAACTTCTTAATGGCCTTGTCCTTGGGCATGCACCAGACACGTTTTGTGTGGTGAATTGGCTGCACGTGGCTGTGGCCCCTTTTGGCACTACGATTGTTACTTCTCTTTTTGGTCGTCTTGGAGCCAAGACCCAAAAGCCCCCCTTTTCCGTTTTGATGTAAATATTTCCCAGGCTGTGACTTCCCTTTTCATATTGAATTATCTCTTTTTTGCACGGTTTCAGTTTTTCACGAAGTCAAGCCCAGCCATCCCTTCTAAACGTCTTATTTCCGTTGAAAACAGAAATTTATCTTGTTTCTACAAAGGTGATAAATGATCGATCCTATGTTTTGCCAACTCAGTTCTTACCAATGCCGTCTTTCAACATGCTCTCACTACCCCTGGAACTAGAAATTCGCGTCAGCTCAGCAAAATGCAAACGAAGAGCTGAGGCACAAATGTTATTACGGAGCCAGTGAATGGAGAGCCGGTGAGGCTCGCGAGAGCACGCGTCCCAGGCCGCCCTTCCAGTCCTCAGCTTCTGTGGCGTCAGCAAAATGGTCCGCGGTGCAAATGCTGAGTAAGCAAATATTGCAATAGCCCAGAGATGACTACAGCGAAAGCTGGGGGGGAAGCAATGTTGTAAATCTCAGGCCCCACAGAGACACTCAGAACAAGACACGAGAGTTGAGTTCTGGGACAAAATCATCGCAGCAGAGGTACTGGTAGGATAATGACCATCGGACAATTTTGGTTTATCGAAGAAAAGTTCATTACTCCTCTCCACCATCTGTGGGGGCTGCCATTATTCTCAGTTCATAGATGAGAAAATTGCAGGGCAAAAGGCTTTGTGACTTGTCCCAGGTCAACAAGCTAACAGGTGTCTGGAATTTGAACCCGAGCCCACGCTGTTCGTTACTGGCCTCTGTGCCTCTCCCATGGCAACCAAGGGTAGGTGAAGGGAGACCGCAGATTCCTGGGGGCAGAGCGGCTTACAGCGCCGGGCTCTTAAAGGCATGTTTGGATTGCTCTGTGGGGACCTATCCCAGTGCCTCTTCCACTCTGTGGATTTTCCCTCCGTGAACTGGACCCGGTCATCTGGAGTGAAGACAGCCCCCACTGAGGTGAAGACTGAGGTTTTGTGTCCCATCCAGATCATGACAATTCCCAGGACGAAGTAGTCTCAAAGGCACAGCAGAGATGGTAGCTCGGGTCCGCAGCTAGGCATATGACCTGTACCCAGTCTGGTCTCTTTCTCACCTGGGGTCATTGAGAGACACAGCTTGGTCCATAGCGAGTGGCATTCTAGTACCTGCCAGTCTATGCTATGGTCATTTCTTCTGAATTGATATGTTTCCAACCTAGATGTGTTACTGTGCTTGGATTCTAGGAGGCAGGGTAGCTCAACAGCTGCATATTCAGATGGGGTGAGGTTTTACTTTGGTCCTTATGGGTCGCCTTTGATCTCCTGGTATTTTCTATGTGCTTCTTCAATTTCAGAACGCATGCTCGCTGAGTGGGATGGCCAGGAGTCCCTGATTATTCCTGCTATCCCAGCATAATTATTGTTGGAGCCCTCTTTTCATAGTTGTTCCTAGTTAAAAATACCCTCACTGCAAAAATAAGCCACGTGGAGAAAAACAAGCCTATTTGGAGAGCGGCAATCCTCCCACATGTGTTACTGCCGTATTATGGGAGCTTTGCCAGAGGCCCACAGCTTCAGAGAACACTGGTTTTTGTGGGGGTCCGAGGAAACGCTGAAGGAGACCCCAGATTCAAATAGTCTGTAAAAGCAAAGAGTGTTTATTAATGTTCCAGCACACACCGGGGGGTGAGGTGGGGGGTGGGGGGGAGGGTGACCCCTGTACAAAACGGCAAAGACCCCGAGAGGAGTGTGCAGGCCCGCCAGCCAAGGGGGAACTCTTGGATAGTCGAGCATGAACGATGCCATAGGAGAGGGAGTTTGTTTGATAAGTCAGGTGCACCCAGCAAAAGGGGAGGGTACAGAAAAACATTTCTGTGAGCCTCAGTTTTCCTTTTTGGAAATGGGTGAACTCAGACCACAGCTGAAATTTCAGTGGATCTGATCTAAACCTAAATGGGAATCCCCTAACCAGTGGTGGGAATTTGGGTCCAAGGAAGGGTCTTAGAGAAGGCACTCAGGGGCTTATGGGGTGGGGTGAAGAAGGAGTAGAAACTCCAGTAGAAGCGGGAACTCAGAAAGGAGGGGGGACCCCAGGAGTAGAGCAAAGAGCCTAGTGAAGAGGAGGGGGCCATCAGAACCCCAGTGGTATGTAAAGTTGGCAAGAGAAAAAGAAAACAGCAGACACACATTAGAGGGGGTGACCTGAGCAGCTCTGAAGAGGTGGGACATAAATAGAAGAGTTAGTGATGTAAATCCCAGGAGGGGAAGTTCCCGGAAGATTTCAGATTTTTATCTTACAGGATGCCTCAGGAATGCTCCAGAGAGTAAAGATAATGTAATGGGGTTGTTACCAGCTGTGACTTCATTAGTGAAAAGGTCACATGGTCATTGCTCTTCATTTTTTATGTTCACCGTCAACTCTCATTTCCCTCCATCCAGTGTTGACAGCTTTGTTGAATTCTGTCCGGTTTCAAAACCACTGCATGAGTGTCAGGCAAGCAGAAGGGAGGCCAACTGCACAGGAATCAAAGGAAAAGGGGCTAGAATGGTCATGTATTTGGTTCTGGACACAAGAAATGAAGCGGGGGGAGGGGGGATGATGTATGGGGTCATTAGCGTGTGGAGTGATGGGAATGACAAGGCATGATTAGCCTGACATACGTCTGTCAGGGGTATCCCTTGCAACATACACTCTGTACGGATCATAGATTTCCATGAATGGCTTTTGCTGTAGTACTGGGAAGGATCTCTGTCCTGTAAGATGTGAAACGTTCTCAGTCCTCAAACCACTAAAAGAGAAGTGTTGCTCCATGGTTCGCCAGCAGAGGGAGGCACACACCATGCTATAAGCTTAGGAGGCTAGGAAGTGGGGTGCAGGATGGACACATCCTTTGATTTACATAGCCTGAACAGGAGGAACACAGCTCCCTTCTGCCTCTGTTTGCTTGAGCTTATAGCCTTCCAAGGGGCACCCAAGCCTGGCGTTTGAGTTAAGGCCAATTAGAGCAGAGAGGCGTTGTCAGGTGAGTTCTGATAAAACAGGCTGGACAGGGAGGAGACAGGACCCAGCGGGCTGTGTACTCCACCCTATCCAAGAGGAATTTCATCCTGTAAGTGGGGAGAGTAGACGCTGGGTCAAGGGAACTTCAGCGGCATGTAGTGGCGGCCATGTACTGCTTCTCTAAGCCCATCATGTTCTCTAGTTCTTCACCAGCCTTCTTGTTAGCAGGAATATCACCTCCCTGCCATGTAGTCCTGGGGTCCATCACGGATCGATCATACTGTAGGAATCCTCTCCTGTCCCCCATCACCATCAAGCGATTACTGCCTGTAGGCAATAGTCTGCAAAGGTTTTGAACTAGCTCTCTACAGGCACACACAGAGAGAAGCCTCTACTGTAAGGTAGAAAGGTAAGAAGTTAGAAAGACTGAGAGCTCAGCCTGTCTCTTCTACCTTTCTCCAGAGCAATCCAGGAAGTGAGATGCAATTAAACAAGGTATAGGAACACTGTGCATGAAATAGGCAAGCTAATCATCTTTTGTAGACTTTCTAAAGGAAAGTGCTGCCATCTTTCAAGTAATTCTGAAGAATCAGTCCTAGATCTGCCTGCTAGAGATAAAAAACCTTTTCTATGGCCCTTAGCAAGCAGAAGAAAGCTGGCCATATAACTAGGCCTCCAATATGCAACTCCTACTGAATATCACCCAAGTGCAGGAAGGAAGCAGAGAATCCCAAGACATTCAACTTTGTTCTTCATGGAAGATTTTTTTTTTCTTTTTCCTTAAACTCTTTTTAAGAATCAGAACCTGAGCCCAAGAAGATGGCTCAGTGAGTAAAGGTGCCTGCCTCCAAGCCCGAAGACCTGAGTTCAATCTCCAGGATCCACACTGTCAAAGATGAGAAGCAGAATTGATGCTCACGAGTCTTCTGAGCACCACACACTTGCTGTATCATGCATGCCTGAACACACACACACCTACCAAATAAAATAAATAATAAAGAATCAGAGCTGGTGTGATAGTGCACACCTTTAATCCCAGCATTCAGGAGGCAGAGACAGGTGAGTCTCTGTGAGTTCAAGGCCAGCCTGGTCTACATAGTGAGTTCATGACTGTTAGGTTTACCTAGAGAACCCTGAAAAAAAAACTGTCTCAAAAAGCCAAACCAAACTGAAAGAATCAGAGCTCCTTTTCAAATAAGATGGTGTGGAATTAAACAGAATAATCAAGAAGGACTTTATCTGGTTGAGGTGGGGAGGGGAGGGGAACAGAAAACCCACATCCCATTTTCCTTAGTCTTCCCCAGTCCAGAGAAGAGACCTTAGGCTTCCTTGTGGGTCCCCACTGGAAGGTGGAACAGTGTGGTCTGTAGTCCAGACAGTACCACAGCTGATGATTGGGAGTGTCCAAAATGATGTCCAGACCAAGAGGACGGCAGTATAGGTGACTGTCTTAGTTTCTTTCCTGTTGCTGTAACAACATACTTCAACTTAAAGAAGAAAGAGTTTAATATAGCTCACAGTTCTGGGTTACAGTCTATCATGGGAGAACAGGAACTTGAAGCAGGTGGTCCCATACATCCACAGTCAGGAGGGACCAGTGAATGCTTGTATGCATGCCACCTGCTGCTCATCCTCTCTACACCTATACAGCCCAGGATCCCCTTCAGGGAATGGTGATGTGTACAGTGGGTGGGTCTTCCCACATCAATTAATAATCAAGAAAATCCCATACACACATACCCAGAAGCCTACCTCCTGGGTGATTCTAGCTTCAGTCAAGTTTACAGTTAACTCTATCTGCAGCAGTGACCTATGGAACAAGAATAATGTACTGAAGCTAATAGGCTAAGCTCCAGTCTTAACTGTAACCACTCAGACCAGCTGGCTGCATTTGACATGGTCATTTAACCTCTCCTCTACAGAGCCTCAGACCACTGAGAACTTTTACAAAGACCAGCATGTCCAGTCCAAACCTGTTGAGCCATGCTACCTGGGGTGTGTGTGGGGGGGACCACCTGTTTCTCTTGGGGGCTCAGGTCCAGGAAGCCATTGCCAGAGGCCCATATGGACTATACAGTGAAGTGGGCTTCCACCCTCTGCTCTGCACCTCCACCCTATTTCTGATTCATGCTATGCTCCTGCCCCAGGACCTCTCCACTGTGCTAAACTGTACTGACCCCCTTGCCTCCTCTCCTATGGGAACCAAGGACAGCTGCAGGTCTACTCTTCCTGTGGTCAGGATCCCACTCTTTGGCCCCTTTTAACTTATACTCCAGATTCATCCAAACTTGTCTGACCCCTGGGCAGGGCCCCAAGGTTGGCCTTCTGTTCCCTGTGTTCCAACTACCTGCAAGATCGGGGCCCTGATAGTTCAAAATCTGTTGCTTCATCTCTGACCACCTCTCTCACATCCTCATACCATTGGAATGACTTCTACCTTATGGAAAACCATGCTTCTTGCTCATGAGTGAGCAAACTAAGAAAAGCCAGAGAGAAAATCAGTTTAAAAAGATAATTCTGTTCAAAGGACTTGCTTGCTTTCTTCCTGCTTAGTCACATGCAGCTGGCCACTCCAAGTTCTCTCTGTCAAGAGCTACGAGAACAGCAATCGTCGTAATAATAGGTCGGTGTGATTCAAGGGAAAGAATTAGATCAGGAGGTGGCATTGTTGACAAGCTGTGAGATCTTCAGCATGTCACTGGGTTTCCCCTGCCTAAGTCCATCTGTAAAGTGAGACTTATGATATGTAAATTTCAAAAGACTGGTGTGAGGACAAACAAAATGTAGCAAAAGTTCATTTTTTATCATTAAAAATGGGCTATGGATCTGAACATAGAATTCTCAATAGAAAAAATAAAAATAGCCAAGAAATGTCTTTGAAAGTGTTCAACATCCTTAGCAGTTGGGAAAATTCAAATACAAAATGCTTTGAGGTTTCATCTTACTCCGATGAATAGCTGAGACCAAGGACACAGCTCCCAAGCACTGGTGATGTCAGGAAAGGGAGCCCTCCAGCACTGTTGGTGGGACTGCGGACAGGTGCAGCCTCTCTAGGACACTGTGGAGACTTCTCAACAAGCTCAAAGCAGCTCTAGCGTCTGACCCAGATATACCACTCCTCGGCATAAAACCAAAGGGTTGGCTTTCCTGTACAGAGACACTTGCTCAGCCATGTTCCCTACCGCTCTATTCACAGGAGCCAGGAAGTGGAAACAACCTAAACGGCATTCAACTAATGAATAATGGGCTACATATATACAATGGAATTCTCTTGGTAAAGAAAAATGAAATTTGCAGGACACAGATGGAACCAGAGACTATTGTGCTGACTAAGGTAGCCCCCACCCTGCCCCCAGGAAAGAAACACCACGTGAGCTCTCTCTCCTTTGGTTCCTTGCTCTGAATCTTTAGATTTGGATATATAACCTGAAGTAACTGCAGCAGACAGAAAAATAGAAAGGGGGCAAGGGAGCGAGTGAGTTCCAGAGAGGGGCATAGTAGGAGAGGATGTGCCAGGAAGAGGGCAGGGATGGGAAATGAGGAGAGGACTTTACCTGGGAAGGGGGGAGGGGGGATATAGTCAGGGAGGAAGAAGGGACAAATAACATGAACGATGTTTGAAAAAACAGAACATCTTACAAGCTTCCTTTAAAATACATTAGATAGCTGGGCGGTGGTGGCGCACGCCTCTAATCCCAGCACTCGGGAGGCAGAGGCAGGTGGAGCTCTGTAGGGCCAGGCCAGCCTGGTCTACAAAGCAAATTCCAGGACAGTCAGGGATACACAGAGAAACCCTGTCTCAAAAAATTATATAAAATAAAAATTAAGATGCATTAGATGATTAGATGATAGATAGATAGATAGATAGATAGATAGATAGATAGATAGATAGATAGATAGATAGATAGATTTAAATAGAGTTATTCCATATAGGGTGCTCACCCCAAGACCCACAGATTAATGAAATCCCCATGCCAGCTTAGAAAATCTCCCTTTGAGTTGTTGGTTGGGAGAACCCTGTGACTCTCAAAACAGTATAGGCTATTGCTGTTGTCCTTGGTCCCTGAGAGTTTATAACATATACAGACAATAGTATAGATTGTATTCTCTGTATAACACAAGCGCCTAGAGAGGTGGCTCAGTAGGTAAAGTGCTTGTTGTGCAAATCTAAGGACTGGATTCAGATCCCCAGAACCCGTGTAAAAAGTGAGACCTAGCAGTACGTCTGTGTAACCCCAGTGCTGGGGGGCAAGTGTGTGGGTGGAGACAGGCAGACCCTGGAGCTTGCTGCTGACCTGTCTAGCCAAATCAATGAATTTCAGGTTCCCAAGGACCCTGTCTCAAAAAATAATGTGGAGAATATCCAAAGAAAACACCAGATGTCAATTTCTGTCTGTACACACACACACACACACACACACACACACACACACACACACACACACACACACACAAGATTGAAAATAAGCATGCATGTTCTCAGGACTCAGGTTGAGAAATCAGTAGTACCTCAGAGGACTGTTGTACATACCTCCCTCATATCAAGACCGAGCATGGATGTTAAATTGTTCCCTTGTTCTTCCATATAGTTTTAAGACCCATAATAGTTTCAAAATATGTTATTCAGTTTGCCTATTTACAACCTTTATATCAATGGAATTTTACTGTCTAACTTTATTTACTATTTTTTTTATAATTTTTTTTTAGATTCACTCACACGGAGGCATATGGCTATAGTTTGCACGAAGTGAGGCTTTACTATCAGAGAGAGATATTGGTAATGACATAGATGCCCTTTACCATGTTAGACATGCTTTCCTTTTCCTTATTTACCAAAAGATTTTTATCATAAAATCATTTGAATTTTATCTGACATCTTTCTCTAATATATATATTCTCTAATATATGTGTATATATTTGTTACATATATAATTTGTTTAGCTGGAGAATTGTATTACTTTGCAGCAGTAAACCAACAGTGAATATCTGAGATAAAATCATATTGGTCATTTTATATATTATCTAATATTGTTAACTATATTTTGTTCAAGATGTTTGTCTTTGATGAGATTAGTCTGTGATTTTTTTTCCCTTTCTTGAAGTGTTCCACTCAGATTTTAGTATCAAAGATGTGTTGCTGTATAAAATGGGTTTGAAAACCTTCCCTCTTATTCTGTGCAGTGGTTAGTTCTAACTGTCCACTTGACTAGGTCAAGAATTATCTAGAGTCTTAGTTGAGAAATAGTCTGGATAAGGTTGGCCTCTAGGCATGACAGTTGGGGGGTTGTCTTGATTGTTAATTGGTGTGGGAAGCCCCAGCCGACTGTGGGCAGCACCATTCCCCAGGCAGGTGTCCTGACATGTGTAGTAGTAGAGAGACAGAGCTGAGCAGCAAGCAAGCAGGCATGTATGCATTTATTTCTCATCTGCTTGATTATGGAAATAATGTGACTGGCTGGTTAAAGTTTGTGCCTTGACTTACCCACAATGATACAATGTTGGACTATATCCTGAAATTGCAAACATCCCTTTCTTCTCTAAGTTCTTTTCTGTTAGAATATTTTATAACAGCAACAGAAATGAAAGTAGAAGTTTTCTGAAAGAAGTTGCACAAGATTGTCATTGCCTATACCTGAAATGTTACATACTCTAAAAAGCCATTGATTATGGAATCTCGAGGGATGCTGGAGATTAAACTCAGGGCCCTGCATATGCTAGGTAAATGCTGAACCACTGAGCTGTGTCCTTTACGCCTTCAATTTATGGAAAGATTTTAAAGCAACCATTTGATTTTTTTCATGGGTATGACACTATTAGTGTCCCTAACCCATTGTCTGCACAGCAAAGGTTTGACATGTCTTTAAAGATCATTTCTTCATATTTCTGCATGTATTTTCTACTTTATACTAGGAGGTAGTCAGAGGGGTTAGACTTAGCATACGAGCCAGAAGGCTATCCAGAAATCCCTGCTCCACCATTTTCCAGCTCTATGACTTTGGGCTGGTGATCTATCATGTACCGACCCCAGCAGCTTTATCTGCAAATGGGATAAAAACTTCATATCACAATTGGGGGCTTAGTGAATATTAACATATGCCAAGCTCATTAGTAATAAGTAGGCACCATTGCTACCGTCAACTCTAATTCTTGACTTGATTGTATACTTGCTTGAAAACTTCCAAATGCATTTAGAGTGGTAGGGGACAGTTTCTGGATAATTTTGTTACAACTTTATAGGTTTGCATAAAGGTGGCCAGAAAATATGAATGTGCTATCAGTTTTTGGCAATGTGTCAAGGCATTTTGGCCTAGCATAGTACTGATTTTCATAAATACGATATCTTTACATAGAAACTGTCATCCAAGAATGAGGTTAGCCAAGATGCCACCTGACTCTGAGAATAATTGTATCTGCTCAATGTAAGGAGTGTAGTGGCTACCCTAAAGCAGATGAGTGTTCAGATCTTTTCCTCACAACAACCACTTGCTAAGTATTTTTAAAGTTCTCTCTTATGAGACATCTTATTTTAGAATTTATGGAAATTTTGTGAAGGCAGTATAGCCAGTTAGTTGTCAAACACCTCACACCTACCTTCCTGTTATTAACACTGACTTGAGCTAACTTGTGAGCCAATATCGATGAGTTCATCAACTGAGGTCTGTGTTGATTCTGATAGTTCTAGTTTTCGTCTGATGCTCATTTCCCATTGGAGGCCTTGTCTGTATTTAGCCAACATGTCTCCTTAGGCTGTTCTCAGTTGTTGCATATTTTGATGGCTTTGATGAAAACTGGTCATGTGTTTTATAAAGTAGCCCTGCTGCTGTTTGTCTGTTTTTTTTGTTTGTTTTTAATTATCATTAGGGTTTTTGTTTGGAGGAAGAGTAGACGAGTCTTCTGGCTAGATTTATGCCAATTTGACACAAGCTAGAGTCATCAGAGGAGGTGGTCTCAGTTCAGAAAATGCCTCCGTAAGATCAGGCTGTAGGCAGGACTACAGAGCATTTTCTTAATTAGTGATTGACGGAGGAGGGCCCAGCCCATTGTGAGTGGTGCCACCCTTGGGGCGGTGGTCCTGGGTTCTATAAGAAAGCAGGCTGAGCACATCATAAGGAGCAAGCCAGTAAGCAGCACTTTTCCACGGCTTCTGCATTAGCCCATTTCCAGATCCCTGCCCTGACTTCCTTCCATGATGAACAGTGATGTGGAAGTGTAAGCCAAATAAACCCTCTCCTCCCCAAGTTGCTTTGGTCATGGTATTTCATCATAGCAATGGAAACCCTGACTAGGACACTCAGTCTCAGGCTATCAGATTAAGTTCATATCATCAACATGACCTGCCACTGTAGATGTCAACTTTGGTTACTTGTGATAATATTTTATACATGTGTAATCTACTATAATTTTTAGTGTTTAGAGATTTTTATTACTTTAAATTATGTTTCTTTGTTTGGGTATGTGCACATGGCAGGTGCCCGTGGAGGCCAGAAGCATCAGATCTTCTGGAGCTGGAGTTACAGGCAGTTAAGAGCCACCTGATATGGGTACTGGAAACTGAACTCAGGTCCTTTGAATGAGCAGTACATGCTCTTAACGGCTAATCCATCTCTCTAGCCTCTGTAATTTTTATTTTAATCTAATATCATAATATTATGATACAATGTAGTAGACAAAAATCCAGAGATCCAGATTCTGGGCCCATTTTACATTCAACTGCTAGTGAGCTTTGGTATGTTACCTCTCTGGTCCTCAGGGATTTTGTTTTTTGGTTGGTTCTAATCTGAGCATATATTTTTTAAATAGTGTACATAGGCCAGGCATGGTGGCACATGCCTTTAATCTCAGCACTCGGGAGGCAGAGGCAGGCAGATCTCTGGAGTTCGAGGCCAGCCTGGTCTACAAAGTAAGCTCTAGGACATCCAGCGCTGTTAAACAGAGAAACCCTGTCTTGAAATCAACAACAAAAAGTATGATTTGTCTAAGCCGGGGATGGGGTGGCGCACACCTTTAATCCCAGTGCTTGGGAGGCAGAGGCAAGTGGAGCTGTCAGTTTGAGGCCAGTCTGGTCTACAGAGTGAGTTCCAGGACAGGCTCTAAAGCTACAGAGAAACTCTGTCTCACAAACATAAATAAATAAATAAATAAATAAATAAATAAATAAATAAATAAATAAATAAAGTAAATAAATGAATAAATAAATAAATATGGTGTACATGTGTATCATTGCTTTGGAGTGTCCTCTAAGCAATATGTACTTTTCAGGTTGTAAGTTTTTGTAGCCTCAAGGTGTCCCCCAAACACGAGGCTGTTTGATCTGTAAGATAGGGCAGCAATGGTGCTGTATAACCTCTGGATGTTATCATGAAGGGCATTGTGGCTTGTGTGTTATGTTGAGGTCACTCATTCAGGGAGAGTCAGCAATGATGGGACATTCCAGGAGCTTTGGGAAAAGGTACATGAAGTGAGCAAGTGAGGGCCTTGCCTGTATCCAGTACTGACATATTGTGGTTCAGTACTGTACTACCTTGAAATTAGATGCTAGCCAAGAATCTCACAATCACATCCTCAGACAGCCTTGACCAATGACGGACTCTGATGTAGATCCACCCGGGATTCCAGATACCAGCAACTCCGTGAAATGAAAGTTTATGTTTGTTAGGAGCAGCAAAAACGGGCTTTGAAACTGTGTTACAGGCCCTGCTGGGGAGGAGGCTATGGGAAAAGATGCTGCTGGCTCCATGCCCTGGTTCCTCCCTGACTCGGTCCACAACAACTTAGCCTTTATCTGCAGTTTATACACTGAAGGTCCAGGCAGAATTTTTCAGAATAAAGTCTGCTGCCAAAGTAAAACTGAAAACAATGGTTTGGAGAAACAGCAGATTAGATGTTCTCTCTGATTCTTACTATCTCTTACGTCTTCTGACTGTACTGAACTGTTTCTGTGAAACAACCTTGATAAAAGAACACCATGGGCAGCCTTCACCAGCACTCATTCCTTGTCACTAAATACGATCCTAGAGATGAAAAATCAGGTTTATCAGGAGCTGCTCCTTCCTGTGGATGAGTTTGGCAGAGCTCAGCCCACAGGTATGGTGGTTTCTACTGAGCAAAGAGCCCTTCCTGGGCACGGTTACACCTCTGGGTACCATTTGTGAGCTGTAAAGGGACCGTGGTTTGCTACTGTTGTTTGGTTATGATAATGATCTGTGAGTAATAACAGCTGACATGTTTATTAGATGTGCGGGCATGTGTGTGTGCGTGTGTGTGTTGCATATAGAGGTCAGAGGACAACTTATGGGAGTCAGTTCTTTCCTTTTCTTTCCTTCCACCATGTATGTCCCAGGGATCACACTCAAGTTACCAAGCTTGGCAGCAAGCACCTTGACCTACTTAACCATTTCCCCGGCCTGGATGCCATGTTTGAATAGCTGTGTGCCTGATGTTTTGGAAGGGGTTTAATATTCATGACATCACTTAATTCTTATGTCCACTCTAAGATAAACATTTTACAGACTGGGAAAGAGGCTGATGAAGTAACCTGCCAGCAGGAACAAGTGGAATTGTAGTACAAAGAATGTAGCGACAGAACCCTTAGCCTTGAGGAATATGGCTGGCAGAAGTGAACATGCTCCTCTTGGGGTTTGAAATACACCGGGGTTCAGCTCCTCTTTCACTTCCTGACAGTGCTTTTTGTCTGAAAACAAAAACTCTCCTCCTAGTGACTGTCCCCAAGTTTTCCAGTTTTCTGGCCAATTCTTAACTACCTGGAGAGTTAGGCTGGGGATCAGCCAGCTAGTAACCTATCTTGTCACACTACAGACGGTGATGTAGCACTGGCAGCCAGAGAAGGTGGAACCTGCCGACTCCAGCA